GGTGAAGAAGAACTGAAATGGGGAAGTGTGGGTGGGCAGGATAGCAGTTAAAGGCACTTTTCACCTTTTTATGCATCTAAATCCAAATGCTTAAATCCATTTGTGCTACTACGGACGGCGACGGGTCATTGATATGACTTGCTCTATTTTCCAACGCCACCATTTCTGAAATGGCTCAATTGTGTTATTGTGCCATGAATTCTACAGTGCGATTTGGGCTGAAAATCCTTGATCTGGGCAGGGGCAAAGGAAAGACGCTGTGAGAGCAGCAGTGTTTAATGGCAACCCAGGTGTGTGAACAAGAGACAATGAAGAGAGGGAGAGATTTTTGGTAACTGTTGTGTTCCTTTCAGCAGAAGCCATTTAACCTCATGCTTTTTAAACCACAGGGAAACAAAGGAGACTTTCTGCTCCGAGAAAGCAAGACAGTCACAGAACTGTGACTGAAAAGACCAGCACCAGACCCATTGGAGTTCATTCTTTGGGCAGTTTGATCCTCCTCCCTCAAGGATACATCAGCCACAGCTTGGATTTTATGAATCAGAGGAGAACCATCAGATTTGAGGAACACAGTCCCTGTCTCTGTTTTCCCAGTCATTTTAAGCTCTCCTTCATCTACTGAGCAGCAGCGATGGACCAGCCAGTAGACAAGTCAATCCAGGAATTAGGACCGTCAATAAATTCCACTGCCAATTCTCACAGTCAGTTGGCCAACATTATTGCAGCCCTGAATAATATTAGCCATACCATTGAAGAGCATGTCCATCTTTCAGTGTGAGTTTCATTACCTGGCAGGGATCTATGCCATGGTTTTGCAAAATGGCCATGATCTTTCCAAAGTGCACTTCATTTCCCAGACCAATTAAGTCAAATGCTAACTCCGATCCTGGAACTGAATGAGACCACCACCTGGATTCTCCATTCCAATTCCTCTCACACACGTGACACAACTTAAGCAGCCTGAGCAACTTCATATCAGGGTTTCACCTGGAGGAAGAAATCTTGGCTAGAGTTACCATCAGGATCAGAGCCCTGTGTATAGTTTGAAAAGCGTGGTGCAATTCCTCCACTGATCTTCTACTCCTGGACAGCTCCTCCACTTCAGGAGATCTTATGGACTTGCCCAGCTTGTTCCTCCTGCAATGCAAGCTCTGTAAGTGAATAAATGGCCACAAATCAGCCATAGTTTGAAATGGCAACATGGAGAAGCCATTTCAGTTTGCGTGGCTTCTTTCTGACTGCATTACATCTACTCCCTACATAGCAGAAATTGCCAGCTCTAACTGTGCCAGGCTCTGATGCCAATCAGCATGAAGAAGAAGTGAGAAATCCTCTTCCCAGCCAGATAGTTAGAAGTTACATATTTCTGTCAATATGAAGTGTTTCTTGATAGTCCTTCGAATCTGTCCAGGAGTCTGGATTGAAAATGGCATGTTGTGGCACATAAAAGTGTATGTCTAACAGCTAATTAGCTATCATTTTCTCTCTTCCAAATTCTTAAAGTATTGGATACACAGAACTGTTTGTGCACCGTGTGGTATCTTTGAGAAAATGCAGGAATCCCTCTCCAATCTACGAATGTGAAATGCGCTCTGAGTTCTATTTATAAGAATTGTGAAAGTGTATAAAAAGAAATCTGTTTCGTTCCCAACCCCTCCAAAGTATGAAGTTACTAGCAAGGGAATGGCAGATTCCTTATGCATACAGGTTAACTATGCTAAAATTAGAGACACATGCAGCATTGCACACACATAGTTGAAAGCCTTTGAACAATCAAAGACAGGAGTACCTAGTCTTTAAACATTTCCACCAAGTTTCTGTGTTGGAGAAACACATTTTTAAGTTTGATTCTCCTTTGCTTTCACTTGCTTTCCTAAATATACCCCTTTAAACAAATTTTCATTTTGTTTAATTTTAATTTTAAATAAACAAAACATCAAATTCTGCAACTTTTGCAGGTAAAGAAAATTGCATTTTTCCCCAGCCTCTGAACATCACAGTCAATATGGCTGGCAATGCAATGAAATCACGGGGGGGGGGGGGGGGGGGG